GCGTTTTACGAACTCTCGTTTGCATCGCTGCTAAATGTCGTCGTATGTAACCACTCCCATAATTACGAAAATCTAAGAACTCGATAATGAGTGTACTTTCTAAGCATGCAGAAATATTAAAAAATTAGTAGACAGTCTTAATAAAATATTGTGATTCCTTTGACATTTGCTTGTCTCTTCTGTTGATTTTTATAGACTATATGTATCGAGTAAGTGGAAAATCCTTGAATTTTAAATCTGAATACGCGGCAATGGAAAACGAAGTTTTGCGTGTTATGTAGATTATCAATATTCAAGGAAAACGTGTTGGTCGAACAGTAATACAATAGTAACATATTACATACAGAAAATAATATTATTACTAAAGGTTTGTAAGACATTGATGATTTTGACCCCCATGGATCCATGTCAGCGGAAAAAAAAATAGGGATACTTTTTTTATAATATCAATACATGACACAATAGTGTTATTTAGGCAGGTCAGTCTCAGGGAGAGTCCCCACATAACCCCTGAGTCTCCCTGGGCTCAGGGGTATCCATAAAGATTTCCCCCCGTCAAAAAAAAAAAAAAAAGGTCATGATCAAGATTTTTGTGTACAATAAATGGAATAATCTTTATTTACCTATGTAAATACATAATACTTTCTTATAATAGATATGTAAATTACTTATTCTTAAACATTTCACAACACACAAGTTATTCGTTTAAATAAATCTATAAAACGTAACATCTATTTGTTAAGTGTGTCAGCTGTCAAACATAAATGACATTGTAGAATGTGTAAAAAAATTTATATTAGAAAGGCAGGGGATCTACACTAAACGGAAAAACAGAAAAAAAATGGTAGACCACGACCAGAAAAAAAGTTTGGGTATCTCTATAATAGATAGACAAATATAATAGATTAAAGATCAATATCACGCAGCAGGGTTAACAAACTTCTCGCTTTCTACACGTAATAATCGATCAGTAAATGTGAAAACGCAAAAAAAAAGTTATATTATACAAGCCCGACGCTACAGGCATTAAATTACATACGTATTCCATGCAAGTGAACAATAATTTTAATACATTGTTAGTAGATGGGTTAATAAACTGGTTTCATCCCCTCATTTATCGTCCTTAAAGGTGGAATATTTTCTTCAAATTTGAATGGGACTACTTACTGCTGATGGACCTCTTTTCCAACAAAAACAGAATCATCGAAATCGGTTCACAAACATCGGAGTAATCGCGTAAAATAAACAAATACGCACTTCCCATTAATGTTCTTGATAGTAAATGATTAGTAATTTTCAAAATGAGCACTTAAATAGTTAAGTAGCACTATTATTAATATTATATATACCTGCACTTGCAGGTATTATAGTACGAAATATGTATTTATCTAAGTAATTATACAGTTTTAATAATTTAATGTTCTAGATATTGTTTTTTTTTTATTACATAATTTTTGTTTTGTTGTGCACGTAAACCCGTTATTGTAATTATTGTCTCCTGTATTTAGGTCTGCAGGAAAGACATTTTTGTTAGAGATAAGAAGTACTTTCTGGCCAGTGTTTTCCTCGTTAATAAATGTGTATTTGGTATAAATGATTAAATAAATAAATAAAAAAATAAAAATCGACTTGAAAACCTGCTCCTTTTTTGTAGTCGGTAAATAAAAAATAGATTCATTTCATTTCTAATAGTAAATTAATAGTAATACTGTTTAATGGAGTCACATGTGATCATACGTCAAAAGTCCTTTTACAACATGAAAATTGTAAAAATAAAATAAAACTACATATAAAACATACATGTAACGAATTATGTACATGAGAAATTTTATGACTCTCCAATTCAAAAGCATAAAAAGTCGTCAACAATTTCGTTAGTAGAATCTTTAATTTAAACACCTTTCCTCAAAAGTTGGTAATTTTGCAGATGTGACCTTACTCCAAGGGTGTGATATTATGGTCCTGACGACATAGACAAGTGATTGCACAATTGTGTCAGAATTCTACTGTTTTCTACTACCAACGGTATGATTAACAATAACGTGCAATACAACCACACCAACCTAGTCTCAAATTAGGGAATTGCCTGTACTAACCAGAACCAATTTAGAAACGTTTAGAGTTGTCTTATCGGGTTCTCCTTAGAGCCCACAGTGCAAACCGTTGGGCCACAATCGAATTAATTCTCAGGTTTAATTCTGTGGCTCTAGTGAAAAGGCAAAAATCATATACAATACAATTGAGGCCTAATTTTTAAAGGAAAAATAAGTATGTCATAAGCTCGAACAAATTATATTTTTACATTGACGTAAATTAAATGACCATTGCTCTTAACACAATAATAACATAATGATGTAGAAGGAAAGTCTAAACACAAATATGCAAAACCATTCAGAAAAACCAAACTGTTCATTTTGCATATTGCAGCGTATCACTTTTAACATCACACAAATATTTCTTTGTAACACACAGACCGGCCCATTTAACGGAACGCTAGTCAAATTCGCAAAATTACTACTGAATTAACTTATTTTATTTCACTGATTTGTTTTAATTTCTTACTAATACAGGCTTATATCGAGTGGAGGTTTATTTTGCGTTCTTGTAAATTACGTTATTTGAATTTTTTATATATTTATTAGAGTTTGATTTAATCAATGTAAAACCGTTGCAATTATTAAATTATCAGCTGATTCCGTTTGGTCACTAATTCTAAAATAATACCGTTTGTTTAATGTTAATGTCTGTTAATTTATATTATTTTTAATAAAAATTAATAAGATTAGTCGATGTACAGAAGATGTTAAATTAAATGCTACTTTAACTCTAATTCTAATTTAATTAAATATAAACATTACAAATTTTTTTTGTTCCGTTAAATGTGCTGATGTGTATTTGAGGTTGAAAATAATTTTCTAAAAATTGCAATAATGTTTTCGCATTTTGTAAATTTGCCACGATGTTACGTCTCACAATGCTAATTATTTCCCCGTCCCGAGCAGTATATCGCATAACAGAATGTATATAATTAGCAATAATTTTGTAAGAGAGTTAGTCTTAAAATACATTAACAGACATTCCTTTCTACATTTTTTAAGTAATAAAACGCAAAAATATTCTATTTAGAATCGCCATCCATAACGCTATGCAATGTGATTGTAATTATGGTCTAACTACAATAGTCGCTAATGCAAGAAAGTAAATACGTCAGTCACTTGTATACTTATTGACTGACAAATGAATTTTTTAATTGCATATAAGTTTACTGGTAATCCAGTGATACAAGGTCTTGCCAGTTATTGTGTTTACAATGCCACAAATATCAAAATCACATATGTTCAACAAAGATCTACCTACCTACTACCTCCGTGGCCGAACGGTCACCATACCGAACTGCCACATAGGGGTCCCAGGTTCGATTCCCGAGCCGGGAGAAATATTTGTATGGCCTACATTTATTTGTCTCGTGAGTTTGGGTGTAATTTATGGTTGTCTATGTGGGTGTCCATGGCATCCGCGATACAGGGTTTCCCTAGAGGGGTGCCGTGAGTGTGTGCGCGTTATGAGTGTGTTAGTTATTAGCTACTTTTATTTGCATTCACAGTGACGAGACTAAGAGTATGACTTTATCCTTAATCCAAAAATTCGAAAGTAACAACTCTCTTTGTTACCTTTCCACGCCGAAAACTCTGACCAGCAGCTTGATTTTGATTGCCTCTCACGATCGGAAACTGGGTCTTTTCCGATTCGAGGCGTAATTGCGATTCACAACAGGCCGATCGAAAACTTTTGACATTTCTAATCAGAACAATAGTTGATTTAATTAATAGATTAGAAAGATATAGTAGGAATCAGGTTCATCTTCTCGCTCAGAAACCCATCTGATTCCGAAACTACCCGATCGGATCGATTTCGGTTTGAATCAAAATCAGCACGCGGACGACATAGCCTACGCAGACGAAGTCGCGGGCACCAGTTAGTACTTAATAATTTATTGCATTCTCAAAAGTGTACAATGTAACAGGTGGACACAACAACAAATAAGATCTTTAAAAACTAAACGAAAATTCAACTTACGCACGACGACAAAATTATTAAATCTCAAATAAAACTATTTTAACACTATATCGGTGAAACGTCCTATTACTGGTTTGTTTTTCGTTTTACTAGTTATATAGTTTATAATTTAATGCTCATTAACATAATGTGTGTCTATCGGTGAGGACCTATAAATTGGCTCCCCATTATCATTTCAGTTTTTACTCTATAAGGCAGCCATTGGTCTTGCAATAAGTTAAAATGAAATAAAATACTGCATATTTTGAAGGATCAATAAATATTTACACATTCTATTGCAAAAAGTAATAAAAAATACAGTATAAGTATTTATGCCCAGTATTTATGTTGGTCTATTATATATACTATGTATATAAATTATAATTAATAGGAATATATTTGTTTATCATTTCAATATTCGTTCATACTGTACTAACTTTTATTTACTTTTTTTTTTAATGTGATTATCAATGGTCAGAAAATGGTGTTCCAAATGAGTAGATCTATGTATACAAGGAGTGATATGAAGTGGGTAACCATCAAATGTTAATTTATTACTTTTTTCGAACAAGATTTCCGGAAATACTTATACTGGATTGCAGGATAATAAAAGTATCTATCTATAGTACCCGCATTAGTTAAAACAAGCTATTGCTTGTAACCAATGATCTTGTCAAAGTTAGTTACCTACAGCACTTTTTTAACATGGCGCCACCAATTACTTTAAAATCCAACTTCAGCTTCCTAGGTTAGTGGTTTTATCTTATGATGCAGAATAACTACTTCTGGAAATCCGGAACTTGATCAAGTAATTAATATTTCGTAGTCCTAACCACTCTATGTCACTCTTTGTATCTATACATTTATCTACTCATTTGGAACACTTTTAGTACTTCTGGTAACCGCTAGATGCGCTGCACAGCTTGCTATACAAAATTTACAAATATTTGTCGCGGTCGTTAGAGAATACAAAGGTCAAGTTATTGTAGAGGTACTGTTTGATTCCAAGTTTCTGGTACTAACCTGTTGACAAGTGATAAAGAGCGCGCTCCACACGAAAATGCCCGCAATGACCTGCGCTGCGCGGGTCTGCAGGAACACCGGCTCGGACATCTCATGAATTATGTTTTCCATAGCGTTGGCTAGCTTCTGCGCCGTAACGTTTACTGTCACTGTTGACGTCATTCTGTAACAACATAAAATAACAAAATTAAGGTACTGGATTATTATCGCTGTTTCATTGCTAGGGCTAACCCATCTTCAATTAGTGGCGGTTGTGGCTCATAATTCGAAGACGAGCAAATGAATATAGCCAAATGACTATGACTGTAGGCAGTTTGAAGACTTGAAATAAAAAAATACTACATGCTACTTGGGATTAATTTATCCCCAAAGTTACAAACAAAATGTGTATTACAAGAATAAAAATAAAGAATCAACTTTAGGCCTATCATATCATGTACATCCAACCTAGATCTAATATCTAAATAATACTATTGTTTTCAATCAGCCTTAGCCAGCACAATGAGAAGAAAACAATAACAGTCCAATTGCAAACTATAAATAACAATTCAATATGCCTCTTATACAGAGCTGCTATGATGAAATCCAATGATGGATTTTCTCACATTTATAATTACGTATTTTTATATTCCACCTACGAGTATTCCACAATTGAATTTTCTGTATTGAATATTGAATCTCATTATTTCATCCATTCTCGTCCGTCATGCGAGATTGTTGACAAACGTGAATCTATTTAGAATGAAATTTCATATACATTTTTAATATCTTACGTGGAAAGCATACTTTGACGTTTTTTGTTTTTATTGAACCTCTCTTTTAAGATAATAACACATTAGATTACCTAAGAGTTTTGCTACATTTGTCTGATTGTTCAACGCTGCGTTCATCTTATCCACCGAATTTTCCAATACTATAACATCCCATACATAAGAATAAGTTATTTAGTGTAGGAGTGGTGGCAAAGTTGGCCCACAATTGCTAATATTCCTAAAGATTTGGAAATAATATGTATGTTTATATATGTATTGCTAGAACTGCGAATATTATAATCTCACTTTTCAGTACTCTGTAAGTACTAAAAACCCAACCTCAAAAGTCTTTCATCCCCTAGTTTGCCACCGTTGGAGGTGGAATATTTTCTTCAAATTTAAATGGGACCACATCTGAGGCAAAAAATGTGTAATCTTTTCTATTCTTAGACAAGAATGCTGGGAACAATGTTGATAAATACAACAATCATGACCCAGGAGTAACATTACAAACGGCTCCTGTTATTTTTATTGTGTTTTAAATAGTAAAATAGTTAGGGCTATTCTATACAATTTAGGACAATTTTTAACACCTGGCTTATCTTGCTTAGTGAGTATTTCATATACTGTGAAGATAAGATAAATGTTCTAATGAATAGTATTGCAGTCGCGTTCTATCCAACAATAAGGGGCATTCAAATTACGACATACATTTAAATTATACACAATACATTGTTGATAAGTCTAGATTGTTTCATAGACAATGTAATTCTTGTTTATAGAAAACTAAAATTATTTTCATTACCGTTACTATTTACACTTAAATTATGGACAAATCAACGCCATCGCCCATGCACCTTAAATAAAGGCAGAAGGTCGCTTAAGGCCATGAAACTCGTGTGACGTGATTCAATGTAATGTAATTATTTTCAATTAGGCACTGAAGCCACTAACAGAATTATGAAAACATAAACACCTATTCCATGTTCATATACATACATATAAATACACCTTTTCTTATGTAAATTGAATAGTAATGCACAGTCATTATCAAATTATTTGAAGCAAAACCTAACTCCTATTAAAAGTAATGCTGTTATTGTTTTTACAGGTTATATCAGTACTTGCATATTGATCATTAAAATTCATAGTACGAAATTATATTTGGTTCCTCTGAAAAATACCATTAAAGTATTCAATGCAGTTAACACACTTTCTACTATGGCACTTTTCACTATGGCCAGTATATGTAGGTACCTGACATGTCAACCACCACATCAGCTAATCAGTCCACCACTAAACAATCTGACATAATCTTAAATGGTTTATTTTTAATAATAAGGCAGCAAATGTAAACAACATAACCAATAATGGAGAGGATGTAGGTTACATTTCTCTGTATCTAATCTCCAATTGGAGGGGATGTGGGTTATATTTTTCTGTATCTAATGGAGCAATAAACATATTTGACGTCATTCCACTTATGCCATTCTTTCATGAGGGGCGCGAAATTCATTAAAATATTTGAAAACATCTCTAGAATTACCCTGTTCAAACTAAATCACGTTATAGTGGCATAAGAGAAATAATCAAAAAGGTGTGATATTTTATTGTATACCCTTTAAGACTTTCTAGTTTCATTTGAAAGATTAAACAGCTGTAAAATATAAGAAATATAAACAAAAATACATTGATAAGAAATCCGAAAGTTATAAACATTCAATTATGATTTAAGAACTAGTAGGTTGAATTAATTGCCAAATGGTATTCATACATACATATATATATATATATTATATATATATATATATATATATATAGATATCTATCCATCAGAATTCAACTTATAACAGTCCATGTTCAGGTAGGTATATGTTAAGACGAGTCTATTCTAAAATTTAAATAATGATATAATTATGTAGAAAAACAAGTCTTTGGACAATTTTTTAATACCATTAGGACTAGCTCGACAGGGCGCGAGTAGCGCGAAAGCGAGATAAAGCGCGAGATACAGCTATTCTCGCATAGATCTCGCGGTTTATGTCGTTCTCGCACAAGTTGGACACCTTGTCGTGCTAGCCCTACAGATATACTGTTATACCTGGTTGAACAGAATGGCACGATATTTCTGTTTATTTAAACGTAAATTAATATTTATTTAACTTTAATGCAATAAACAGAAGAGCGCTGCTTTTACCATAACTGCCACCGTGCCGAACGATGATGCTGTAGGGCTAGCACACAAGTCGCGACATGCGCGAGAGCGACATAAAGCACGAGATATCTATGCGAGAATAGCAGTATCTCGCGCTTTATCTCGCTCTCGCGCTAGTCGCGCTCTATGGTGCTAGCCCTACGGGTCTGCCACGCAGAGCTCCCGGGTGCAATTCCCGGGCCGGGAAACACATTTGGGCCAAACAAATGCATTTGTTTCTTTCGTGACTTTGAATGTCATTTGTTGTTGTCTTTGTGAGTGTCCAGGGCACCCGCAATACAGGGTTTCCCTAGTGCGGGGTTATGAGTGTGTGCGTTATTATTATATGGACAAGATCCTGCTCTTCAACTTACAAGAGTACCTATGTTTATTGTTTTCTCAAGAATATTAGATAACTAAAGCATCATAATAGTCTCGGTAAATGATTCACTTTTTTAAAACAAAAATGTTATCCAATATCTGAGAAATTAAACAATTACTAAAATTCTTATGAAGTAAACAAATTATTTAATTACATATCGAGTTCTTAGGTTTTCGCGATTGTTACACATAGGAATGAAAATATCTTTCGGGTTTTAAATCGCGTATATTTGTCTTTTCAAACAAACCGACGTTTCGGGCCCTTTACAGGTCCCATGGTCACGGTTGACACGGAAAACGTCGGTTTGTTTGAAAAAACAAACATACGCGATTTAAATCCGGAAAAATAGTTTCATTTCCTATTTAATTACACTTTAGTAATGAAAGAAGTACACTAAAGTGTAATTAAGTAGTTAGATAGTAAATAATGCAACAGAAATAAACTATACTAGAAAAAGTATAACATTAATAACATTAACGATGTTCTCAGTACTGTATTATAAAAATTCCTAAAAATCCCACGCACAAGTTCTTATCACGCAAAAAACAAAAATGTCGCTGTTGGATTATCAAAATCGTAAACACATGTAAAATATCCCAAACATTTACTGTACCAAATCCATACACAAAATAGACACTACGACGTTGGTGACATTGTAGATACCAGCCTGTTATACCTTACTTTACCAGGTCTTAAAATAGGAATTACTACTATTGGTTCTAATCATCTCCTTGTTGCATCAACATCAAAATTGAACAATGATTCAAACATTATTAACAAAAATCGTAAGCTGATGAAGACATAATAAGACGCCTAATACGTAAGACTGTATCGTCATTGTTATCACCAACTGTGTAAACATAACTGGTATTTCCAACAAATTGCTGAATATGAGCATTGTGGCCTTTCATTGGAAATAATTTTAATAGAATATTGATCCATTCACATGCAAACTTTTCCAATTTTTTGTAATATTAGACAATGCGCTTAACAAACAAGAAACAATCCCCCAGAAAATCCCACCATAAAGCACCATCTTGTCTGCAGATTGTTACAAATGGACTACAGGGCGTAAATTACCTAAGTTGAATAAGAGGCCAGTTATTCAACTTAGGTAATTATAGAATAGTTTCTAATACCAAAAACTTGTATTAATTCTTTAAAGTCAATTGTAAATATTTGAATGGCAGGATGTACTGAATGCTATGGTGAAAGATGAATGAAAAACACCTTTCAAGCAAGGGGCGTGGGCTCGAATACAGGCTCACAACCCCGAGTTTGCCGGAATTCATGCGCGAAATTTAATTTGAAATGTATCATGGTTTTCGGTGAAGGAAAACATCGTGATGAAACATGCACGCCAAAAAGGCTTCACAACCCTCCGAAAACTTGTGAAATCCCTAATCCGCATTGGGTTAAATCGGCTAAACCCTTAAGGTTCAATATGCAGCGGAACGGAATGGAATGGAAGCGTCAATTTCACCTCGATGCGTGAGAAGACGCGCGAGAGGTCGCTGGAATGCTCGAGCAACGTGCGCCACACTGCGCCTACCTTCGCGCTACTTACCGCGGCTTCGCCAGGCGTCACCCACGGCAGTTGCAGAATTCTCGCGCTTATACGCGCAACGTGATTTTTGGCTCGTATCTAGTTTGTACGTTACACAATTGACCATAAAGTTCATTACGCTATGTACAATATTGTTACAAAAATTTGATTCCATTCCGCCGCAATATAACTTGAAACTGAATGTAGATCCGTGCCCAGCAGTAGGACAGGTTGATAATGTGAAGGCAATGATATAAATAAAAATAAAAAGGCAGGAATGATGTAAATATTTGGTGGCATAACTGCACAGTGGGCACTGTAAGAGGAAATTTAGAGTTTTTATTTCCTGTGAGAGTAATTTAGTTAACATAAATTGGTTCTGGTCTGGGTGTTTTGAAATTGTGTTGTTCTGGTATTCATAGTACAGGGAACTCCTTAGTTTGAGATCATGTTATTTTGAGTGGTTGTCTAGCAAATTATTATTACAATTAATTTTACAGTATATATATTTTACTATATACAGTAATTACTTTACAGGGTCACATTCCATTCATTAAGACAGTTCAGATGACAAGTGTTAGACTCCATCAACTGAACTAGGCTGCAAGTCTGCTAATTTTAAATCACCTCAGTTGTTCGTCGATAGAGTGCCAATGGCAGGATATTGTACGTTTGGTATTCTACTAAAAGTTAAGAGTGTGACTTGTCAGTAGCTAACCATTGACCTACTGTTCAACTGCCCTTGCAATTTTGTGGTAGTCTGCTCTTCAATGGCGAGTCGATGGTGTAGAGTATTAATATTATGTATATTAATTTGAAGACTAAATTGCTGTTAAGTAAGTGAGGTAAAAATTAAGATATGAATAATAATTTCCAATGTAGTTTTAGTAAGGCAACATCAATCATTAGTAATTGAACGAATGAATATGCCATCACTGCCATTCCAATAAGACTCAACCGCCATTGGAACTGGATCTTAACAGAATAACAAATATAATCATAATTGCAATGTAATCTCCATGGAATTACAATGATCAATGGTTTCAAGAAAATTAAAATTGGGTCCCTGACTCTTGTTGTAAATGTGAAGATAAACATTTACAAATTATTGAATCATTGTTGGTGGACATCTCATTTAATGAGACAAAAATTATGATACTTATTGGTCTCCAGACTTAAATAAGTTTGTCAATAGAAAAATCTATGTCATGGCAGTCTTTGAGTAACATACTTAGCCCATCACAGGTACACATACAATTGTTAGAGACACCTGATTGTTGGAGAGACCGTGTGTCTAGGACGAGTGACAGGTTAATACACATAAATGATATGCTGGCATTTATTTTAAAATTAAAATTTCAACATAAGATACTATTAAACGATTATTACTAACTACAGAATTAACTTTGAAATAATTAATTAGGAATAAAACTTACCGTACAAATAAAAAATATTTTTATTTGTACTAGTAATTTTTATTACTAATTATATAAAAAATGACTAGTACAAATAATAGTAGATTGTACAAGTGCATAAAACATGTCATTTTATCCAAAATGAGTATATCCACCCAAGACACAGGCAAGTAAAATAGGTTTTATGAACGAGGTATACACTCTGCTTTTCACTTCGATTGCGAGGAAACTAAACAGCAATATTACAAATAAATGATTATTTAATTAAAATTGAATATAAAATTATTACAATTACACATATTTAATGTGATGGTTTTTTCTTTTATGCACTAGAGCATAAAATCCTATTTTATGCAGCCTACACCCAGCATATACACGAACTTTAAGAGCATGAAAAGTGAAAAAATATTTTTTATTTATACTAGTCATTTTATTCTAGTGAAAATTGTTTATTGAATAATGACAAAACGCAATCTATGTATAAGGTAGCTTTATGTATCAATTGACCTGCTTATTTCTTAATATTATATTTTATGATTAAGGTAGATTCAAGATCATTACTGCAATTTTTTTTTTTAGATTATGTATAAGTATGTCACATTTCTAAATAGTTTTTTCTAAATATAATTATAGACAATTTCTACAAAATTGTGAAATAAGAAGCATTTATAGTTTATTTATTTTACGAAATTTTATATTGTATGGTAGCATAAGACTTAAAATTTCGAGAAATTTTAAAAACAAGCACACTATTGCAGTATCACTCTGTAATTTTTCAACCTTTTCAAAAAAGGCACAAAAATCAATAAACACGACAAATATTACCGATATTAAAATGATGATAGCCTCTAATGATGTTGGCAAGTAGTTAAGATGTTCAATCACCATTTCATTTCACCTACATGTTAATTGGGGCAATGTTGCGAAACTACGGCTAGGCGTACTAAGAACATATCACAACGAACAGGATATTGGTCGAATGAAGGCCTTAAAACACCAAAACAAGAAAGGCGCCAGTTAATTGGAGGTCACACGTCTTGACATTTTCTTGTTTGGGGCACCTGTGAGAAGCAAGACTATTACCACCAGTGAAGGGCTATTGACATTCCCCCAAAACAGTCGTTCCATATGCTTAGAACAAATATTATGATTCATTAATTTCTTATGAATAAGGTTTACCTGTAATTAGGACCACGAACGTCTTCTAAGCTAATGTTTTCCTTTTGTTAACAGATGTCACTCGTAATCAACACTTCACACATATTGTTTGTTCCACTGCGCACACAATACCATTGAATTTCTTCACAGAAACGCTCAAAGAAAATCCTAGTGTGCAACGAAAATAATCACTCGCACTGTGAACAAAACACAAAGCAAAAACAAGTTTCCCTTTGCTTCCTTTCTCGTAATTTTTACTTCATTTTCGATTCGCGAAATCGTGACGTCGTTTGACTACTCACCATCAACAAGATTTCTCTTTTTTTTCTTTAATGTTACCGTAGTAAAAAAAAAGTTAGTAGCAAGCGCCATATGTACGGTGACACAAACTAAAATAATTAAATTTAGTTTGACTTTATGTCACTAATTAGTTTTTTTTTTAATACCAAGTGATGGGACTAACAAGCCGTGCGTCTGGTGGTAAGCAACACATCTATCCATAACAGCTTTAAATTGCAAAAATCTTAAAGGCACTACCACTTGCTCCGTCACCCTGAAGCATAAGTTGATAAGTCCCAAGTGCCTATAATTTCACCAGCACCCTTATACTTCATAACCGAAACGAAGTAACGCTCACATTACAGCTTGGCGGCAGAAATAGATAACCTTATATCTTATCTGCCACCTGGCAGTAACTCTTTCATAAGGAGCTCCATCACTGTTAGATTTATTACATTTAGCGCTACTACATTTCTACCATTTATCATAATTTTAATGAACGAATTTTAGCTATTTGATCGTTTTAAGAATAAAAATAATTAAATATCTACGTCGAAAAGCAAATTAGGAATCTGAACCAGAGTTTTATTATTTGTTTGTTTAGTTTCAGTTTTAGTTGCAACTATAGAAATTATTTCTACATTGATTATTGACAATAACCTTAAACCTTAATTAATCGTTATTCCCGTATCCTAAACTAAAAACCGTTTTTAAATAAAACTTGATGTGAAAAATCTGAGAAAATTATCAAAATCATTTTTTCAGAGTATAATGAACGTAAAGATTTGGGTTTAGGTGACAATGAATGACTCATTGCTAGAAATCTGTCAAAGTGTAGAATGTTTACTTTTATTGATACACGTATTTATCTTTAACGGATTTTTTTTAAAGTTATTCGTTAATTAATAAAATGTCATCATCATCAAGTAAACAAGGCTTCAAAAATAATTAAAGAATTAAATGGTAATATTTTGAAGCGCTTTCGTAACAATTCTGCCATAGACAATCAACAAACTGAAATGAAAATGTCCGTCGCAAATGATATGTTTTATTTTACTTTGTGACTGTAATTATCGTGGCATGCGATGTGGAATATTTTCTAGTGTTTACAATCGTGGAAGTGCTCATATTTAACAAAAATGATTGTCCAGGAGCCTATACAGGTAGACACCACACCAACTTTCCGTACCTGTCAAGCAGGATTCAGAAGTGATCATTTTGAATTTATAACATTTGAATTTCCGCAGGTTATCGTTTGGGATTGTCTGAACAATTACGAGTATGACAATGCTATATTTCTGGCAGAGAGATTGCACGCTGAAGGTAATCAAAATCGTCTTAAATTTTTCATTTACCCTCAGAACTTTCCTATCATATTTGTGTGACATTATTTTGTATATTTTTGTCATAATTACTATTTTAATTAAGAACGATAATGTAATTTTAAAATCATTCCATAATTATGCCAATGATCGTTGTATGTTTGCAGTTAATTCAGAGGAAACAGCATTTTTGTTAGGAACCTGTTACTATAGAGCCCGAAGAGTCAACGAAGCTCACCATTTATTGAAAAATGCATCCCCATCACTACCACAGGCTAGATTCTTACTAGCTAAATGCTCCATAGAACTGAAATAGTAAGTACCATTTTATACCTATAAGCTGAACTTGGGATGACATGACACTCATCTATCTATCAGGTGGAAATGTACGCCTTAATTGTTTGTGCCGATTTGACCCTGATGAGAGGCAATGTTGACAAGTATACTTTTGTAAGCAGTAGGAGCTCCTTGTGAAAGAGTTCGTCCAGGGAAGTACTGCCACCTTATCTATTTCAGCCACCAAGCAGTAATGTTAGCATTACTGTGTTCCGGTTTTGAAGGGTATAGATGCTGATGAAGTTACAGGCACAAGGGACTTGTCAACTTGTCTCAGGGTGATGGGCACAGTGGCAGTGCCCCTCAGATCTTTGCGATTTGAAGCTCTTCAGTGGCACTGCAATTGTTATGGACAGGAGTGTAGCTTACCATCAGCACGACTTGTTTGTCCCGTCACTTAATATTATTTAAAAAAAAATGACATACACTCAGATAGTCAAGCAGCTCTACATGTTCTAACCTCAGCCAAACATCAAGGATAGTTGAGGACTGTGTGACTATACTGAATGCTCTTGGGAAAAGGAATAAAGTGGTCCTGCGCTGGGTTCCAGGCCACTCTGACATTGAGGGAAATGAGGTAGCAGACAAAGACTGGTGCTAGGGAAACCTTTATTGGACCTGAACCCTTTACAGCAATAGCATACAGCCTGGCAAAACTCACTCTGCTAAATGAGAGCACACAAGTCTCCCGAGAAGTGTGGCTACAGAGCAAGGGTCTTGAGCATTCAAAAGCACTGATAGCTGCCTACAGAAGTTCTGCCCTTGGACAGATATGGCATCAGAATGCTCACTAGTCTTAACAGGACCCTGGCTTGAACAAGAACATGTCAAATATTGGGCAGAGAGAGAATAGAGAGTGTAGATCCTGCCACGAGGCGGATGAAACTCCTGTTCATCTTCTCACTCAATGCTACTCCCTGATGGGCATACGAAGCTCCATACTGGGAAGGCACATGCCACAACCAGAGGACATAAAATCAGTCAGGAAAGTCCTTTGTTCTGCAATGTTGGCCTTGGCTCCAAACTAATTAGTGGTGATTACAATAGATCAGCTGAAGGTCGCACTAATGAGGGTCTACATATGCCCCGAATGAAGCCACCATAATAAAAAACAAGTACCAATTTGATTATAAGGATAATTTATTGTTGTTTTACTTTACTGTTGCTATGTATTATTGATTTTATATTTTTGTTTTAGTTACAAAGATGCAGAGTTGGTGCTGGGAACAAACTTAGATATTGTGGCTTCAGAGTTTGGAGAGCAGGCACCATATGCCTTGCAATTACTTGCCAAAATCTACAATATAACAGAAAGGAGAAGTAAAGCAGCTGAGGCGTATCGAAAAGCCTTGTCACTCAACCCATTCATGTGGAAATCTTTTGCGACTCTGTGCAATATGGGTGAAAAAATAGATCCCCATGTAGTATTCCAAATTAATAACACCGAATTTTCCTTTGGTGTTTCAACATTAGTGAATCTAGTCAGCAATTCAGAAAATATATCTTTTGTGAATAGCAACATTCCTAATAGTAATACTAGCATTTCTAGTATGAATAATGTCACACCAAATAATATTGCTACTCGGACCCCTATGACTATGTCCACAAGTATCACACCTGACACTCAGGCTCCTATGAAGCGTATGCATAGTGTGTTCAGTGGGGTTGCTCCAATACCATTCTCACCATCATTTGGCATGCTACCAATGGAAGAATCTCCTGTACTTTATACTCCAACACTTACAGATTCTAATGAACAGAAAGCTATACCCAAAATAGTAAACTCATTACGAGCACAAATGGGTCAACTAAAAGATGCCGTTTTCAGTCCAGCTCCTCGATGTACCTTAGGTCCTGCCCCTCGAAGATCTTCAAGACTATTCAGTAATAACAATAGCAGTTACTCAGTTAAAGAAAATAATAAATCACCCAGTAGAAAGTTTGTAGCACCTAAAAGCCCTTCAAGAAAAAATAAGCAGAGAACTGCCAAAAGCAGTATTAAGTCTAATTCCGCTGACTCTACAGAAAAGAATAAGGGCATGGAGACAGTAACCCCTATTACACCAAAGAACTCTAATGGTGTAGCATTGTTAGGATTAATGAAAGAATTAGGTGAAGCATATAAAGCTCTTGCATTCCTAGAGTGTAAAAATGCAATTAAATTATTCCAAGACATCCCACCAAAGCAACTTTCCTCTCCGTGGGTGCAGACGATGATAGCGCGCGCTCATTACGAATTGGCGCAATATGAAATTGCTGCCAAAATATTTGCAGAAATAAGGAAACAATATCCCAATCGTACAGATGGAATGGATATTTATAGTACATGTTTATGGCACCTACAGAAGGAAGCACAATTATCAGCATTGGCTCAAGAATTAGTAGAATTAAACAGAAATGATCCCATTGCCTGGCTTGCTTCAGGTAACTGCTTTTCACTTCACAAAGAACGGGAAACGGCACTAAAATTCTTTAAAAGAGCTGTGCAGTTAGACCCAGACGCAGCTTATGCACATGCTTTACTAGGTCATGAGTATGCAGTAGCAGAGGAAACAGACAAAGCTTTAGCAAGTTTCAGAACTGCAGTAAGTATCGATCCTCGTAATTACGTGGCTTGGTTTGGCATAGCAACGGTATACGCCCGACAGGAAAGATGGAAAGCGTCAGAAGTGCACATTAGACGCGCACTCTCCATACATCCTCATTCTGGGGTACTAAGATGTCAACTAGGATTAGCACAAGCAGCTCTAGGAAAAATGGATCGTGCACTGGCCACTCTTGAAAGGGCGGTGGCGTTAGATACGGAAAACCCTCTGTGTCGTTTCCACAGAGCTTCAGTGCTGTTACGTGCGGGAAGGCCGCAAGATGCGCTATCTGATCTCCATCATTTAAAAGACATAGCTCCAAGAGAATCATTAGTGTACTATTTACTGGGAAAAGTGCACAATAAGCTAGGAAATTCCCACCTCGCTCTGATGCATTTTAGCTGGGCTACAGACTTAGATCCAAAAGGAACTGGTGGCCACATTAAGGAAGGCTTTGACCCCTCGAAACAAGATGACCCTCCTGAAAGGTCAACTTAGAATGGATGGATGTGTGTAGAAGGATTGTATTGCAGCTTCGCGCACGCGAACGTCGGCGGTGCAGTCGCACTTGACTGATCCCTTGTAAATATCGCGTCTCTGACAGAGTCCTCGATTGACACCAAATTCTTCCAAATAGGTTAGTTAACCTATTATATTATTGGTAGGGCTCGCAGGTGCGCAGTGGCATTTAATTGCTATAGAAATAAGGGAGTATGTGGATTTGTTTATATAGAGTAAGTTGTGGATATTCCTAATATTATCCTAGTTCACTATTATTATACCTTGTAAAGCTAATAATTCCTAGAATTATAGAATTTTTAAAGAGATACTTTAGAAAGATCTAAGACGCAGGGCCTTGATCTCAATGGGGTGTTTTCAATCAATTTATCAATTATCTCAACATTTAAATCATTGACTATGGAATTATTGTAACATTGCCATAATAAATTCGTGATATAAGTTTGGCTAACAGTCTGCTTTTGTTTGTGTACCTGTTTCGATATTATGAGACGAGGTCGGTGGAACATGTGTAGTATTATAAAAATTAGACATGTTTCCGACAACCGCTGGCGGTGCTTAGTTTTTTTTTATCATGATTGTATTGTATTTTTAGGCAAAATTAAGCTTGTGTCAAAACTACTGCATGTAGACATTGTTAGGTCCGCTTTGACTCAATTTCGTTGGGCGATTTCAATGTCGCCCATGTACTCTAGCATTTTTATTAAATCATAAAGGCGACGAAAAAAACTGCTTTTGAATGTTATAAAGGTCTGAAAACGATCCCTGATACAAATTTGACAATGTTTTTGTACTATAATCTAAATGGGAAAATGTACAGAAAGCCTGGACCTTAGTTTGTAGTTAAAATTACTTTTGTCTTTGTGTATGTACTTGTTACAAAATAACTAAGCACAGTATGTCACTTTGAATTCACCAATAAACTGTTATAGTTCTGTGGACAGACATGTTTAGACCACCTGTAATTGTATGTATGAACTATAAAACCGATATAACATTGTTGTGAGTTTCATTTATAAACACAAATAAATACCACCAAATATATAAAGTAGTCACTTTTACTAAGCACGAAATATTCGTAATCAATGTATTCTTATACAACATTTAACACATCTGTTCATCAAATTTATTAATATAGTACCTTCAACTTCACAATCTAGCATAATCTTTGAGAAATGCAAATAAATCTCCGTCACTCAAGTACACTATCATTTCAGATAAAAGAAAAAATTGCTATACCTATGTACAAGTACACTCCCAAAATGTAAATTTTATGTTAGTTTTTGTAGTATGGAGTCTAAAGCTCTTCGTACTGTAGGGTCATTGAGGAGTTTATTTTGGGCTGGAGCAGGTACAGGTGCTGGGGCAGGTGGCGGCGGGGAAGGTTCCGCAACCGGAGTGATCACTTTCTTATCGTTTAATATGCTGAGAATCCTCTGTTGAAGGTCTACTTCTGTCTTTTTAGTTGGCGCGGTTGTTAGAGGCTCGCCTAGTTCTATTTTTACTTGCTGCTCTCGACGTTCCTGTTGAAAAGGAGAAGATAGCAGATGTAGAGTAGAAGTTGTAGCTTTCCTTCAGGATTGCGATAGATTTAATTATCTACTACAACGGTGAAGCTAGAATACGTGGACTGATTTTAATAACTGAGCTCTTTGACTTTTAAAAATACTGTAATCGCATTTACTATATTTTTCGCTATTTGACGAGGGTCTCTGAATAGTAAAACCCGCATGTCTATATCGTATTATTAAATATCATGATGTACATTCTTTGGCTACTGCATTGGGAGTACAATAGTGAAGTAACTGAATTTTACAGACCTGTAGGTATTCAATGACTTTATCATACTGGAGTACTGTCAGTGTGCGGCCATCTGCCAGCTGACCCAGTAACGCATAAACAGCTTCCCGTCCGGAAGGTCCGCCGCGTTGTACCTCTTGAAAGTTACGAGAAAGCAGCTGCAAGGCGTCTTCTAGAGGCATGTTTCGGTGCTCTGTGAACGCAAGTAAATTGTACTCATTAGCGAACGAACGTGATATATAAGAGTAGATAACGTGGTTCTGGTGTGCACGTGTGAAACAGTCTTCAGTCGCGAGAATAAGTACCTGATTATCGAGGTCTTAGGTTTTCGCGATTGTTACACATAGGAAATGAAACAATTTTTTCGAATATAAATCTGTGTATATTTTTTCAAACAAACCAACGTTTCGGTCCCTTTACAGGTCCTATGGTCACGGTTGACTGAGGTGGTAAAGTTATCAACCAGTTAAGTGTAATATTAATTAAATATCTTATTTTTTAATTTTTTTTAAGGAACATTCAAATTTACGCTACATATGTTTTACAATTCTTTTATTCATATGAATTTTTTTATTAAATTAAATTTATTATTAATTAATAATGAATATAATAAATTATAACATATTAATTAGTGCTGCAGTCTGTCTGTTTGGGATTTTTCATCAAAGGAAATACTGGATCCCAAACTAGTAGTACGGAGAAACCATCTTCCCTGTTGAAATTAGAATGTTTTTTAATTTCCATGGCCTCTTACAGCATCTTGGGTAGATAACGGATTTCTTTTGCAAGGACATGAGGTTTGTCAAACTAGATTGAATCTGTAGGTTTATCCATGATACGCTATGACGTGAGAGGTGCTAGACCCAATGCTAACTGGGGACATTACACATCTTCTGAGGGCTGTGAACCTCTTAGTTGTGCAGGTTTCATCACGTATTCCTTCACCGAAAAGCTCATGGTCAATTTCAAATTAAATTTCCTACATAAATTCCGAAAAACTCAAGAGGTGAGAGCCAGAATTCGAACTTGCGGCCACTGCATTTTTATTTTAAATGTTAAAAAAAAAATCAGTAAAGATAGTCAATAAAAAGCACATAAAAACTAACTGACATTGTAAAATTAAACTTAGGTATTTAATTAATAACTTTTGTAACTATAGTGAAAAAATAGGGTGGTTTTCATTAATATTAGACATAACTGGTTGGTGACTTTACCACCTCAGTCAACCCGTGACCATGGGTCCCGTAAAGGGCCCGAAACGTTGGTTTGAAAAAACAAATATACGCGATTTAAATCCGAAAAAATAGTTTCATTTCCTGTGTAACAATCGCGAAAACCTAAGACGCACATAAATTAAATTTGTCCAAGATCATAGTTACTTGTTAAAAAAGGCAAACAGTACAGTTTAAAAAGTTGGTTGGATGTCCGATTTTATTGCCAGTATTTATAATAAACAAACCTTGTGGCAGTCCATGTAAAATAGTCAGTGTCAAAGATCTATGTTCTTGATTCTGAGGCATGACTAGAATAGCGTATAGACAGCCGCGAGACGCTATGTTCCCCAAGACTTTCCCAATAGGCACATCTTCCATGGGGAATAACAGATCTACGACGATGCCCAGGCGTTTTAAACGACCTTCTATGTACTCTGCATATTCTCTGTAAGAAGAAATACATTGTGTATAGTTACATCCTTGAGCAAGGCGTGGGATCTATGAGGCAGGGGTTAGCGATGTGACGATGCTGACCTCCTTCATCGTCATCCCACCTTTTTACAGGTTCCTGGCCACTTTTAAAATTTTGATTCGTTCTCGGATTCCCTCTTACCTTACCTCGTTCTGTCATCCATCACTTTATATATATATATATATAGGCCTTTTTGGGGTAAGTGTTGTCTGCATTGTTTAGTAGTTTATTATAATTGAATTTTTTAAATCATTTTATTATTTTATATTTTACAGCGTTTTGCCACACAAATGGGCACCTTCAAATTAGACGCTTGTAGACGCGCTGCAGTGGCGCGACAGCCGCGTGTCTCTAGTAATTACTATTTCCCTCAATACCGGGGTTTACACAGACCCTCTGTCGTGCGTGATACAGCAATCGTGCGCGATTGAGCGCGCGTGTAAAGACGTTGGAAGGAAAATCATTCGCAGTAACACTCGCCAGTTTCACGCGGTCTATCTTGCGTTCACACGGATGCTCTTTCCGTTGTAACAAACACGAGCAATCACGCGTGTAAGAACGTTAGCTTAAAAAATTTCAAACAGGTGATCGGGCATGATTGCGCGTGCAGCCTTTGCGCTGTGCGCTACTGATCACGCGCGATAGAGTGATTGCGTAAGGCTGCCTTTCCACCAGAGATGTGCGACGTAGCCAGGCGGTGTGCGAGGAAAATATCCACCAATAGGGTTACTTCATTTTCCTAGCCTCGCTTAGCGCAGCTCTATTGCTATATTCTATAGCTATTGTGACTGCAAAAGTGTTACGCGCGTGTCACGACAGTGGCGCTGCAACTGCGTTGCTAAATATTGTATGAAAATTAGCATTGGCGTTTAATTAAGCGTATAATTTGACGGTACCCTAAAGTTCGAAGTTCACCACGTTGGCTCAACGGTGTTGTGTGCGGGTAGGTGACTTCACACGTCAGCTATGTTAACGTTATGCGACGTGTAGTTAAAATCGTATTTTATGCAATCATTGCATTATAAAGGTTCTCTAAGTCGAGTACCGTGTACGAGATTTTAAGACCTAATTACGTAATATGATTGCATAGTATGCTTTTGCTACAAGTAAATATAATAAAGAAACACAACCAATATTTAATGTTTATTTTGTTAACAATCTATGACAACAAATTCGAGCGAAAGGCAAACAAACGCTACAAAACAAAAAACAAAGAGAGAATAGAAATGGCCAAGTACAGCTTATATTTTTACAATATTTCTTTATAAATGTTTATGGCCCGGCTGCAAGACATTTAGGCCAATTTAACCAATCAGGAGGCAGTAAAGCGTTTGAGTAGCATAATATTTGAGAATTTAATTAGCAAAAATACGAAGTTCTTTTTTTTAAATTGTAATTTTTAAGCTTTTTGAATGTCATGATGTTTGACCACCATGATGTTCAATTATTTTTCTAACCAAACTAAACCAAAAAAAAGTTACTAACTTAGTTGGCAATGCGTCTGGCATGGTTTGCTGGAAGACGTCGAATCCAGTCGGATGGAAGGAATGTTTTTTAAGTGATCGTTTTTTTTTAATAATAATAATAATTATAATGAGTTCAGTAGCGAGAACCATAGACTACAATTTTTATTCAGAATTAAAAAGAGCGCCATTGTGACTTGGTTTATGGTTTAGGTGTAGACATAAATAATTATGTGGCGTATTTGTATTAGGGGCTGTGTCACAATAATATAATTATTGAAACCTGTGATTAGTGATAATCATTTAGTGAATAAACACGAAAGCCATAATTCATAAATACACCTGTAACCACAGACATATTATCTAGATAGACGCCGCAAGTACAGTAATTTGGAAGAAAAACAAGCGTGCCACATTTTTTGTACCCACTATGACGTCACAATGACTATTTAGTGATGGAAACCTCCTTCCGCTCAAATTGATGAATGGCAAGACAAATGAAAATGTTACTGCTGACAAAATATGGTGAAATCTTATTAATCAGAAGAGGTTTACTTAATGACCGCCTCGTGTGAAATTTTTGTGGTTTGTTTATTATTTCTCCGATTTCTAACTCTGCTACTCTGCATATTTGGATGGCATCTTAGGTGGGATAAACTAGACCACCTTCGTCCTCGAAAGCAACGAACTCATACGTATGACCAACTCCAGGTTTTTGTAAAGACAGCGCACTGTTAATTCTTTGCATTATATATATTTTTGTTTTACTCGTACTAAATATCCGGCGATGTACGTAATTATTTGCTCACTACATTCGGACATTCGAGACAACGTTCTGCAAAAATTATCGAAATTACAATAATTACAAAAGATAATAGATATTACAAAACTGAAAAAAAAAAACGAAACGTTAGTAAACGTTATAACAAAAGAGTTATAAATATTTCTATAATATTGCTAAGGTCATAATAACTATCGTCCCTTGGTTTTCAAAATCGATAACAGTGTTGCCTAACGTATACTTCACTAAATGTTAAATTTGGTCAAAAAAACTGTACAAGCGGCCGTACCACGAAACTGAATGCATTATACAAAGTGCGTTCGTTCGATATTCATGGCATATTAAGAAAAATCGCACCAAGTAAAAGCCGCAATGTATTACAAACACTCGGTTGCATATTTGTTTTCTCGAAATTCATACAAAACCAAAATAATTTTTAAAATAAATTAAGCAATTTCTGATTACAAAATCACTTGCCCGTGGAAGGAAATGTCCCTGTTTACCCGCAGTTATGGTGCTTTTTCAGTTTATAATGGCAAAGTTATGCATTTCTCGCATTTTCGACTGGTGTTTATCGACGATAACGGCCGAGCTCGTTCTGAAGTGTAGCAGCGGCAACTAAGTGAATTTCACTTATAATCACATATAACTTTGTTTTACATAATGCTAAGTTCAATGATCTCATCTCTAGGACAATTTTCTATATAAATATATTTTGAAACAATTTTTACACAGCTCTCCTGTTTAGTTAATAGCAAATAAACAGTCTGTCTCAATTTCTACTGATGTCTAAAGAGAATACAGGCGTCCGTCAGTATTTCTATGTTCAAAGTACCTTGTCGGCTTTAAACATGTTTTAGCAAAAAAACAACCAACCAATATAATATAATCTTAGATAAAATCTGGAATTATACTCACGTAAGTGCTTTAGAAACAACAATGATCTCGCAATCGTTTCTCTCAGTGACGGGCAAGCTTCTGGGATAATCTGGCAGTTGTTGCGAATAACGATCGTAGCCGACTCTGTCTGCCCATTCGCCTGGAGTTATTAATAAGTGAAATATGTAACATTATGGAAGAATGAGTGTTACCATAATAATGCCACAAATTTGCAGTCGACCTCAAATGTCTCAATCAAATTTAGAACATCTTCAAAAAGACCGGGTTAAAAGCAGGGTGAACTACGCACGTCAATGTTGACACGTAAGATTTAAATTCAACTCTATGTCGCTTGTGATAAGAATAGGTATCCAAAAAACAAATTGTCAAGCTTGATGAAAAAATAATAATAAATGGAGTCACGAAAGGAGATAGTGGCTTGGATCTGCCTGAATATAGTAAGTATAGCTATTTTGTATTTTATGTCAGTATGTACCTCTTCCTCCTACCGGTGATCGTTCTCGATAGCCGGCAGGTCCGCCTACAGGTGCACCTCGGCCTCTGATTCCCCGACCCCGTGGGCCACCACGAGGAGCCCCCCTCCCGCGACCACGAATTCCGCCGCGGCCTTCATGAGTTCCTTCTCCCCTTTCTTCGTAATCATCATTTCTGAAACCTATAAAACACAATGCTGAAAGATTTATTTAAAATAAAAACTACGAAATTATAATTCAAGACGCATATTTTTTCTTTAATATAAAATGCTTAAGTGGCCATAGTGTCATTTACAGTTTCTCACCTCTCCCCAGTGAGGTATCTCTAACACCACCCTAAATTGAGTGGTGTACATAAAAAACTTTAAAAGGTTTATGCTATACCATTTTATCTATTTTTACTTATTATAAGTTATGTATGTTATAAATAATAATTTAATTATTTAAGCATATAAGCATGACATAGTATAGAATAATAAATACCTACTCTACACTAAATGAATTAATCACAGTTGCTGCTTTCTACTGTGGTTCTCTATTTGTACTAATAAAAAGAAGCAAAAATTCAATATTATAGTTTAATTATTATTAAAATTTTATCTTTAATCTGCTGAGTAATTACTGCAGTGGAGTGAAAATGATGAACCATTTATTTGGATTATTTACGTCTTTACATTATTCATGCGTATAGTTCTTTTTGTTTTAAAGCCGAACTGTTTGTTAGGGACACAGACATACACTAAATTAGTTAAATTCCCTGACAGATATTATATTACATATGACTGTCAGGGAAGACATGCTTAGACTATGGAAATCAAAGGACATATCATATGTTGACATACATAAATCAGACGTTATATGTATATGATTCATTTCGACATTGAAAACATAAACATGGTATTGTCTTTGTCTAACTACTGCGTGCCGTCGTAAGCCAAAAGAGATAGCATTACATTGGTCTGTGCCAAACACGGGAATCAAAAATACGTAACGTCATTTTAAATGCCAACTATGTTCATTTCGCACTACATGAGGTACATGATACGGTTGTCAAAGGGAAGTACATCAAATGTCTAAACAAATATTCTCCCAAGTGTTTTATTGAATTATTTGCATGGATAGTAATAGAATGGATAAAAATATCGACAGTGACAACAATTAGGTATTAATAAAAATCCGTCGCTGCAGCATTAAGGGATGTGGCGTCAGCAAAAGCGAAAATATAGACAATGTAACATTGCACAGGCATGGTTATTTTTCTGACAATAAATCACACAGTAGCTCAAATATCTCATGTAATTAGACTTATTTAACTAGTTTATTTATAAATCTTGCCAAATTTTGCTTTGGTTACTTCAGATTGCCTACTTGTTTGTATATTTTGATGATTTTTGTTAATGATTGTTTTGTGATAGTGTTGTTCTTATAAGCGTACATATTATCGAAATTCTGTTATCAAAAAAATATTATATAGATAGCTTATTTGCCTTGCCATAGTTCAGTGTCACTCGCCTAGCTGACCGAGCGAAGGCGAGTGCCATCGTGTATATGGCTCATTTGGCGCTTATCACAAATCAAAGGCGCTCGGCCAATAGTGTTCAGACGTGTGTCCGTCCGCATATGAAATGCATACTGAATTTTAAGGCAATTAAAAAAAATGCCACAATTAATACAAAACAAAGAAAGCCCGCATAAATTAACAAAATGTAATCTTGTTCTATTTCTGCGAATAATCAGGACCGATTATTCGCAAAAACAGAACAAGATATTCCCAAATGGAATATTGATCTACTTTAATTAAATGTATTAATCATACTTTGATTACAGTAAACTAAAGAAACAAAAAACAGTTTCAACGTTCAAGCCATACATTTGCATGCCGGATTATTTACTTATCGATAGATTATGGTACAACACTAAAGAAATCCGCCTTTTGTAGCATTCAATTTTTGTTTAGATATGCACGTTCATTCTATAGTTAGGGCAGCTCTTTTCCTTTATTTTTTTCCATTTTATTATCTCTTAGACTGGCGTTGTTACAGCAGCGGGTCATGAAACTGATGGCTAGTAGAAGAGTTCGACAGTTCGTGGCCTTCATTACGACATATATATTATTATATTCTAATTTTTTATTTCTATAATGCTTTCTTTAACCGATCTGGGACATTGGTCATCCGGAACAATAACAATGAGTGCCACTTTAGGTACTACTAAAGATGTATAAAACAAATCAGCAAAAGGTTGCGCCATTTTGACACATAAACACGTCATGGTAAACTAACTATAGAGGTGCATAGCTTCCTACCATTCCTACTGAATCGTAAAAATGACACAGGAGAAGGTAGTTGCTGAAAACTATGATTTTGATACTATGTTAGTATATTATATGCAGTGAATTTTTCGTTCTGATGTTTTGTTTGAATAAGTCTCCATTACTACTTTATAAATGGCATTTAAAAAAAAATTTATTAACAAAGATTTAACTTACTCTGATCCCCAATGTAATTGCCGTAGCTGTCATACATGTCTTCTGTCTCTTCAGTAGCCCCGAGATTATCATTGTGGGCCACTGCAGGGGCTACTTCTGGGTGCACTGTGCCCATTTCTGAATCGGAGCGCCTGTCCAGAGCAGGATTTGGTTGACTTTATTCGTTGATAATATGTACACTTAGTTTATTTATTTATTTATAAAATATGCAAGAAATCTGATAGTTGACAATGTATGAATAATCTTAAAGATTTTAATATTTATGATATTAACAATAAATTAACTGTCTACATCTTGAATACAACAAAGTATCTAATTATGACAAAGAGTAAAATGCAGACATAGGAGAAAAATAAATTTATAATATAATAAGTGGATACCTACATGTGTGTAAGTTTACCCATATAATCATCTTGATATCTAAAAAAAATAAAAGTAAAACTCAAATATTGAACAATAAGAATGATGAACAGATAATTTGAAGCCATCTTGCAATTTAATTATTAAATGACTTAATGCATTTTGAAACAGGTATACCAAATGTCATTTCCATATTGTCAGTTTAAAGGTAAAATTCAGCTAAAAGCCAAATTGATTATTAAAGATAATTAAGACACAAAATTGTTTTTTCAAGATGTAAAATCATTATAGAGCTTGTATGTAATAAAACTGTGTAAACTTGTTTTAAGTATTTTATACTGAATTTTTGTTGCAATTGTTCGTCCCAATGAAAAAAAAAAAACATAGTAAGATAATTTTTTGTTATCAATATGTTTCTGAAATTTACCTTTTAAACGACACTATGTCCATGTTGATAAGTTGAATTTGTAAACCTGGGGAAAACTTTTTCTTCAATGATAGCAATATTTTTGTATCTGCTTTAAAATTAATTTTGTTGCTCTTTAAAATTAAATAGCAAGGTGGCTTGGATTATTTATTTATTTAATTTTTAATTCAGACAATAAGGTTCATAAATTGGTTAGTAACAGTTTTCTACTGGCTTTGTTAGTAAAAAGAAAAATTTGTCTGGCAGTGTATAAATAATGTCCTGTTTGTTTGTGTAATTGCTCACTGGCAATAATTTTTCTAGAAAGTATTTAAAATAAAAAAAAGGATTACACATTCTAAGACTGCTTAATTCTAACTATAATCTGTAGTTTTTGACCTCCTTTAAAACTTGTAACAAACATGACATCAAAATACAATGTAATAGATAAGTATTGGCAATAACATAGTTCAGTTAAAATTATTAAATAATGTATTACCATAATAACACAAGTATGATAACTCCTTTTGTATGCAACAGTGCAGCTTATATGTGAGCACACATACTACTTGTCATGTATGTTCGGATGCACACATTCGCATAATAATGAGAGACGCATTGGACGACCAGTGCTGTGCAATGAAAATGCATTGCAAAATTATTACGCGGGTGCATACAAATCCCACTACTATGTTTGTATGGAGTTACCATACATGTTTTGTCTTTAAGGGCCACTTCTATCTTGCCCACAACGGCGTGTAGGGCCGATTCTACCATACATGTTTTGTAATACCATTATTATTATTATTTGTATTATGCCTAAAATAGTCACATTTATTATTATTGGGTGGCTACAATCAGGGCCTTTTTGGCCCCTCATTAACTGATATATAGTGACCACCACTAATTACACTTTGGAGCCAAGGTCAACAGCATTAAACAACTGAAGGACTTTCCCAGCTCCCACAATTTTAATGTCCAGTATGGAACTTTGTACGCCCATCAGGGGACAGCACTGGGTGAAGTGATGTCCAGGTGTTTCATCCACCTCATGGCAAAATCTACACTCTCTATTCTCTCTCTGCCCCTTTATGTGACATGTTCTTGTTAACGCCATTCCTGTTCAGTGACAGAGCTTCTCTACAGTCTATGGCACTGTAGGCAGTTATCAGGGCTTGTAAATGCTCAAGACCCTTGCTCTACAGCCACACTACTCGGGAGATGTGTGTGCTCATTGAGTAGAGTGAGGAGAAAATTGTCGTAAATAATGTGAAAATTATTATCTGCATATGCAAACTTGTCGTGTCGCATAATATAGAGACTAAATAAATAAATTTGAAAACTTACTTTTGAGTCTGAGCAGTCCTAACACTAAGAGTTTTCCCTTTGAAAACACTGCCATCACATTTTGCAATAGCTTCGTGAGCCTGCGATTCAGTGTCAAACTGCACGAATCCAAAGTTCCTGTTCACAATGATGCCGTTGATCTTCCCATAAGGCGAGAAATGATTGTACAGCTCGTCTAGACTAGGTTTGTCAATGAGACCGCCAACGTAGATGCGAAGATGAGCAGTGGAAGGATCTTTCATATCCTGTCTATTTAAAGTTAAGGAATCTGCAATAGTGATCACTTGTTAACAACATTACAAAAAGGATAAATTGAAAATCTTTGATTTAAACACCAAGAATTGTCGGCGTCTAAATAACAGGTTTTATTCGCAAAATACTGCTTCTGAATCCAAATTATGAAACGTGTCTTGTTTGTACTAACCAGCCATGGTCGATACTAAACGTAATATTACGAAAAACCCTAGTTAGAAGCTTTAATATAATAAAATATACACCGAACAAGAAGCGGTTTGCTTCACGTTTGCTTGTTTATTTTTTTATTCTTTTCGTTAAGAAAAGGCAAAGGTTCAACACCATACAGCCAACTCGCAATTTGACAGCCTTTGTTTTAGCAACAGCCAAGAAGCTTTTTAAGCTTGTTGGTAACAGCTTGGAGGATGGAAAAAAATAAAGGAGCAACAGTGACATAATTTCTCAATAGAATCTAAACCCCATGTAAGTAGTAATTAATATTTTTAGAAGTAGGTAAATATTTTTCCTCTTTTTCAGAGTTCACATCTATTTAGTATAATACGAGTCCTATACCCTTAGAGGATGGAAAAAAAATAAACCTATACCTACTACCTACGGTGGGGTCGGGCTCGGCCTGCGGCGCGTGGTCGGTTTCACATTAGGGGGTGTGCTTATGCTCTTCGTTGGCACAGTGATTAAGTACTATGGGCGCTTAATGAGGAGGTTCCAGATTCGATCCCTGATTTGAACCAAAAAAATATTTTCAAATGGCCAGGGTATTCTAGGTATTGAATTATCGTTACTCTGGTACTCATAGTACAAGAAATTCCCTACTATGAAATCAGAAATTTGGAGTGATTGTCTGGCATTATTTCGTTAACTTCTCTTTTTGGCATAGCTTCCAAGAAAAAAGAATCTAACAGAGAGACGGTCGAGATACAACAACGCTATAAGCATCTTATTTCCACTACATCGGGAAGTATGCCTCACATTTTGAACAACTGTGAAATCTTGTACCTTAATAGACTCTCCGTATCCTATCTACGTAAGGTGGCGTGCGGACTCTTCGGGCTTCGCCCTCCACTACACCTCGGCCTACGGCCGTAAAAGTAAAAAGTAAATTTTGACTGTAAATTATTATTAAATACCCATAGAGATCCCCACATGTCGATTTTCAGCTGAATTAGAGCAAATTTCCATCTGCCGCCAAAAAGTTTGCATGACAGTCATGTTAAAAAACGGCACAAAACAAGTTTTGACCGCAAATTATTACTAAACACCCATAGACAAATTATTACTAAGCATCGAATTAGAGCAAATTTTCATGTGCCGCCAAAAAACACTTCTATGGCAGCCATATTGGCGAAGAACCAATTTTGATCACAAATTATTATCAAGCACTCCTAGTGGCCCCCATATGCCAATTTTCAAAGGGATCTGAGCAATTTTTTTTCTGCCGCAAACGCTTCTATGACGGCCATATTTGAAAATGGCGAAAAACAAATTTTGAGTACAAATTATTATCGGCATTTCTAGTGGCCTTCAAATGCCAATTTTCAGTCGAATCAGAGCAAATCTCTCTCGGCAGCTATTTTTAACGAAAAAAACACTTATGTGGTGGCTATATTAAAAAATAGCGAAAAGAAATTTTTGAGTCCAAATTATGATTAAGGACTCTTAAAGACCCTCGCATGCCAATTTTCAGCCGGATCGAAGCAAGTTTTTCTACGGCCGCCATTTTGAAATCGCCATCTTGAATTTTTTTACACGGGCAGTTGACTACTATTACCCTCTATGACATTCCTTCCAGCACCTCCTATCTCCAGTTTCCGTGATAGAAGGCTTCGAAATTTGTATGGCGGCCATCTTGTTTATTTGAATTTCGAATATTTTTTACTTTCTGCGGAAATTGATCAAGGTGTATCTCATAAAAGTGCACAAAATCCCCCTATGTATTATGTCCCCCCATGGTCTTCTCATATTTGATACTTTGCCTTGGAGCCTATCCACGTACAACGGTAAAAATATCTTTTTTCACCATATCGGGAAGTACGCGTTCTATTTTTCTATAGAGTGAGGATTTGTAGCTTTATATATATAATAATATATATATATATATAAAGCTGGCACGCTACGACTACATTCATAGTCCTGCAATCCGGCGGACGGCAAAGCGCATTGCAAGGCAGTAAAATGAACGCTCCCTTTTGTGTTACTTTTATGTTTAAGGGGGTATTCATTATCCTGCATTTTGAATTGCCATTTGTGGGCTATATGCAGGTAGAATGTGAACAGTTGTCTGCCTGCGCGGCAAATTGCCTGTCAGGTAGTGTTTCCACTACGAAAATTATGCAAACACTCAGGTTACAAAACAAGATTTTGGTATTGTTTTTAACTAAACCAGTGATGGATCATGGAAAAATTTCCTTTTTGAAAAAAAATATATTTTCAGAAAAATAAACATTTTCCTGAGATTTTTCCAATATTTTTCCCCTCTATTTTTCTACATTTGACGTTAGCACCTGTCAAAAGTTGCAGTTTCTGAACGAAAGCAATGGATCCAATGGTTTTTTCGCTGTTGTCCAATCATTAGATCTCATTTTTGTCTAACTTGCGTTCAGCTATACGATTTTATTTTATAATTCACGCTAAATAAAAATTCAAAAGATATTTCTAAGCGAAGAACATAATATGAGCCTTCGAATTATATTTTTCTAATATTTTTCAATTTTTCAGAAATTTTTCCGTTAAAATTTCCACTAATTTTAACATTATAAATTCTCGAAAAATTTGAAAAATATAATTTCGAAGGCTCATGTTAAGATTTGAAATATCTTTTGAAGTTTTATATATATAGTTTAACTGCCTCCGAGGCCGAACGGTTACCATGCCGACTCCCACGCAGAGGTCTCAGCAACAAGCTTTTTATATATCAAAGTCATGCAACGCAAAGCAAGCAGCGCGACAACATATGCGAGCGACTCGTGAACAGTCCTACTTGCGCGTACGTGACAGAACTTTGCGTATGGGTGAAATGAGTCACCCCAAGCAAGCGGAAAATCGCAAGCACAAGACACTCGTGAATCCAGCATAATGGCTCCATCGTTTTCGTTCAGTAACTTCAGCTTTGTCAAATGTGGAAAAATATCTGGAAAAGTATATTTTTTGAAAATTATCCTTGACCCAACACTAGTTTGCATCTGACAGTGACAAAGTGACAAACTGACAAAAGTCGTCACATGTCACCTGTGGTGCCAGATTAAACGATTTTTCGCCATTTAGGTTATTTCGAGGGGTCGCGCTCGTGCATGGCGGCGACAAAAAGTGATCGGGATTTTAAATAATTAATGTTGGCAACGCTCTGGTTTGGACGAATATCGCAATAGAAATCAAAGAACTTTGAAGTCCAAAACCATACAAAATTGCACACGGTAGTTTTGCATTTTTTTGCATTGCATTTGGAACATTAAAACACGTGACATACTAAGCTTAACGAAAAATGTCCGATCTGCAGGTCGATTCAGAACTTTACGATAACTCTGTTGTCGACCGATTCGATTAGATACCGTACGATTTCTTTTCATTTTTGTTCACCGAACCGAAATGACTTCACACCAGTAGGGTTACTCGTAATTCTGGACCTTCAACACAGTTATCGAATGAAAGTTACCAAACGTCCTATTGTTTACAAAGCAAGAATGTTATAAGGAAATCTTTTATTATTTTAAGTGAAATCTGGATTTTGTTCAATTTTATTAATTTATTTTAATGCAAGACTAATACATTCCTATATTTTAAGCCTTTAAAGTCTAAAAATGTAATGTAAATAAAAGGATTTAATTTTTCTTGTAATCTATATTCGCCGACTAACTCCATAAACGTTGTTGGATAACGATATCGTATCCGAATCCGAATTGAACGTTTTAACTCGAATGTTCTGAATAGCTCGGAAAGCGCCCTTCGTTCGATTCGAGAACGATCTCCAAGCGAACGATTCGCTGAAGGCATTTCGAAACATTGTGTATCCGCTACTTTGCTGCGCATAAATTGGCGAATTAACTTAGCAAAAGATTGTGGCAAAAATCTGGCAACACCACTGCATGTCAATGTCTAATTCACTTCATAGTTTTATTTTGAAGTTTTCGGAATTTTTGAGGTTAAAGTATCCAAAAAATGATGATAAATTCCGTAATACATAGTTATATAACTCGGATACTAAAAGGCGAACAGTGTACAATATATCTGTGATATTAACATACCTCTTCAATCATTCTCCTTAGTCTTAACGAGCTAAAGGTGATGTAAGTATCATCATTATTATAAATTAGATAGTAGTATTTTAGGAACGTTTTACTACGTATTTGGACAATGTACAAGTTTAGATCTTTTGCGAAGTAGATCTTATTTTAGGTCTATAGAGATCCGAATACATAGTGCTTAATATAGCTGGTTTTGTAGAAGTTTTCATATGTAACCATCGTGAAGTCGATTACCGTAAAACATAAATTTTAGATAATTTTATTTGGCATCCTTACTGTTGTTCTAGGTTATATGATGCCGCTTAATGACATTTAGAAGACTATTTAGCTACGCATATAAATCTTATAAACAGACCACAACTGTTGCATTTAGCAGAAAGTACTTGTTTTACACTAATGTGACACTATCATCAGGCATATCGCTGTGTGGTGACTTAGTAGAGCAATCTTACGAGTACCATATGCAGGAGATTGACAAGTATGATTTTGTTCGTACATCCCACATGGCATTTTCTGGTACTGTCGCTGGAGTAATTTGTCACAACTGGTACATTTTCCTTGATAAAATTATAGTCGGACGATCCTTAGACATGATCTTCAAGAAATTAATGCTGGATCAGTTTATTTGTTCCCCTGTTATAATATTGTCTTTTTTTGCTACTGTTGCTATTTTTGAAGACAATCCATTACAAAATTTTAATGAAGAAGTTAAGGAAAAATTCTGGACACTGTATAAAGCAGAGTGGGTTGTGTGGCCACCTGCTCAAATAATTAATTTTTATTTTTTGCCTACTAAATATAGAGTTCTATATGACAACACAATATCTCTTTGCTACGATGTGTACACCTCTCATGTGAAACATGCTAAACCTGTTAAAGAAGAAAAGAAAGATACTGAAACTTTACTTTACAGCAAATCGGAAAGTTCTGATTCAAATGAAATCATAGACAAGAAAAATGAAGATAATTCAGAATGTATTAAATAACTTTATGATTCTCATAAAAGTCTAAAATAGTCAAGGTTCAAATGATACAGTTGTCAATATACACAATGCATTTAGTTGAGAATAAATCAGTGAGCTTTGACTTGAACTATGTTATATAGAAGTTAAATAAGTACAGTTTTGAATGTATTAGAGAAACTGGCTACTCACTTAAAATCTGGAGTCAAAACTTAAATGAAGAAATTTGCCAATATAAACATTTCAATAAATGGACTATTTATAAGTGCATTGCGATAACATTAATTACTACTGTTTTGTTTTATCTTAACAATGTATTCATTATTATTTTCTTTTTAGTCCTAAATAAATAAATTATAACCATTACTTTGCTTGTATATCTTCATAGAAAGGACAAAATCCGCGTTATTGTGTAATGTTATTAAATCTAAGTTATTTTTTAATTTTTTTTTCAAGGCAGCCAATTTCGTTCTTTACAGATACCTGCAATGCAAGCTGTTGGGTTCACTTGGAGAAGGTTATCTAAAAATATCAGCAACACAAAATCTGTAACTCAGTTAAAAAAAATTGTAAAAATCGCGTTCAGTGATAAATTTCTTCTATATACAAATGTAACTATATCTGTAGGTTTATCGTCAGTCGGAGATGCCATAGAGCAAAGTTACGAAATTTACACTGACGACTTAGATAAATATGACGCGAAACGGACAATGCACATGGCATTTTCAGGAGCAGCACTCGGTGTGTTATGTCATAATTGGTACAAAGTTTTAGACAAATTTATTGTAGGTAAAACTTTAGACATGGTAACAAAAAAGTTGTTGTTAGACCAATTAATATTTTCGCCTATAATGATAGTAACCTTTTTTGGTAGTTTAGCATTATTTGAAGAGCGACCTTTACAAAATTTTAAAGCCGAAGTAAGTGACAAGTTTGTGCGACTGTATCGCGCTGAATGGCTAGTGTGGCCCCCTGCACAAATCATAAATTTCTATTTCTTACCTACGAAATTTAGAGTGCTATACGATAACACAATATCATTAGGCTATGACATTTATACCTCTCAAGTAAAACACAATAAAGGCACAGGAAATTTAGTAAAGGTTGCATGACGTAACTTAAACTTAGGTGAAATACAATTTTGTAGAAATATATATGTACGTCATATTTCATAAGTTTTTCCAGGCATAACTTTTTCGTGTTAAGAGTTAAAAGAAACAAGCAGTGCTGTGATGATACAATTATGTATTTTATTGTTAACGTTAATGTTAATATCTACATGAATTGTTTCCAATACTTAGGTGGATAAAATTTATGTAAAAAAATCATTACATAGTTTAATTTCTAGCAATAACTGCCCAATGAAAAGACTAACAAAAGTAAGTGAATCTTGCTATATTGTATGTGGGTTACATAAGTAAAGGGTTTTTCAACAAGAACTCTGTTCTGTAAATCAAAATAAAACAATAAATTTAGACGACAATGATTCAAATTTTTGTTGTATTAAAAAAAGTAAGGTTTGGCAATTCTTAATGAAAAATTATGTCTGTCCACCACGACCACAGTTACAGATGTCGATTCGTTCATCAAAGTTTTTAATCCGTTTTTGACAAAATGGTGGGTCTATTTTGTTAATCACCTCACGAATTTTAAGTTTTAAGGCTGCAATCGATTCGATTGGCTCCGTATAGAGTCTGTTTTTAACATAACCCAATAACAAATAATCTAGCGGTCTTAAATCATATGATCGAGCTGACCGCTTAACGGCTGAATTTCGTGAAATTATGCGATCGGGAAATTTGGTTTGCTCAAACATTCCTTGTTTCGGTGGCTGTGTGACTTGTGTCGTTGGCATTGGGGCGTTTTTTTTTTCGAAAATTCGACTGGAAATGCGGTTACGGTCAATGGATTACGCTGTCGAGAGATATTAAACAACTCAATTTTGGCCTATTATTGATGATAAGGATCACTAACATGTGGTTTCAATAAGACGGTGCCTCAAGTCACACAACCACCGAAACAATGAATTTCTTGCAAACCAAATTTCCCGTATATATTTATCAGATATCAGTTTTCATTCATAATTGCCAAAACCTACTTTTTTTAATACTATAAAGATTTGAATCATTGTCATTTAAATTTATTGTTTTATTTTGATTTACAAAACAAAGTTCTTGTTGAAAAACCCTTTACGTCGATTGAATTCTATTTAGGTGTTAAGAACGGTTCTTCGGCAGGGGAACCCTTCTTGCTAGCTCTGAGACTAGAAAGAACGCTGCGTACTATGGTGTTCTCGAATATTCTATCTGGCCATGATTCTGATCGCCGATTGCGCCTTAGCTCATCAATGGCTGGCATTCTGCTGGACCTTGGAGATGTGCGATGCGAACAAAATGACTTGCTTCTTCTTTTCTCTTTAAAACCTAATAAAGATGTTAACAATTTGTCCAATGCAGCGATTTCGTCAATATTATGATCCTTTGGGTAAGTAGTTGGTGGTGTTGAAGCGGCAGAAGCCCTTACACTCGAACGCATGGAAACTGGAGTCCTAGATTGTAGACCAATCGTATGCATAATCTGCGAATAAAAGTAGTTACATTAAGAGTAACTGGAGATACAAGAAATGAGTGAAATACTTCGACGACGTACTTTACTTAAATGAAGACCGTGGAAACTAAAAATATTATGAAAACTGAAGATAAGTCTTCGTCTTTATATTGACCGTAGGTTAAGCAATTACCTCATCCGCATTGTGGCTCTGGTAGCTCATCCTTTTTACTTTTCTGTAAGTTTCATCGTCTAGAGCTTCTCGGACAGCAGCTTGTAACTTTTCCTTTATTGTATCGTCCGTGCCATGATTTAAGTCGTCTAGCATTAATCTGGAGAAAGTAAATTTTGGTTCTATCTTGTCATGTGTGACATACTAATCATGAGCTATTGAAACGTGCAGATCTTTGATATTTATTCATTATCGAAACATTTATTAACAAGATAAACACAAAAAATATTACTCAGTCCGTTCTTCCTCTTCAGCGCGTTGTAAATTAGCTCGATTAGCTTTTCTCGCGATCCTTATGTCCGTTTCCCAAAATCTCCTCAAATCGGGAGTTGAAGTATACGGAGCAGCTACTTCTTTTATTTTCAGAAATATGATCGCCGTAATGAATATACAAATCACATTGACTATTGTCAAACAGCAACTTACAATACCTGCAACAAAAAGGTAATACTAACACGTCTTGTTAAGCTAGCAAATCGATAAAATCGTCTGCATTGCTGTCTAGTCGGGTAAGATCTCATAAAATTTATTATTCAGAAAGATTGTCTGTATCCTTCATTTAATTCAATGTTACAATGAGAACTCACCGTTGACAGCAAATTCTATAGGAAGATAATCGTGGTATAGTGGTTCATATGTCGAATTTCCTTGATACGCTTCTCCTTTTATATGGGGAATTTTTACTCCAGGATGCAAAAGCCAAATACAAGCTAAAGCCCAATATAAACCCTGCAATAGTTATCCAGTTACAAGAACACAATATTTTGTATTGGACAAGATAGATATGTCAAAAATATATAAAAATTATTACACAATTAACAACTGGCGGTAATAAAGAGGCCGATATGGCAATACCGATAAGTGGTCCAGCCATGCCTTGAAGTAATGCCAGTGCCACACCAGTACCTGACGTCAAAGCCCAGAGAACTCCCATCCACAATGATCGGACATTCCCTCTAAAATATAAATAAATACTGTTTTAGTGTATATATTTACTAGTATTTAGTTTTACATCACTTTAATTGTATTATTTTTCATTACCTAGATTTCATCTCCTCGGTTGGCCAATCTCCAAAACCCCATGGCATTTCAGTGGAACCCAAAATCAGACCAAAAATGAACCCAAACACTAACGATACAAACATTCCTAGAATAAGACTTTCGAACCCATTTCTAATGAGGGTTCTGTCTGATATTATCGTTCCAAACGTGATGGACATTACTGGGCCCATTAGTGGAGACACTAACATCGCTGCTACGATGTTTGATGCGTTGTTTTCCACCAAGCCCAAGGCCGCAAGGGAGCTGAAATAGATGGATGTCATTTGCATAAAATATTTATGAATATAGCATGCCGCAGTCGTTTAGTTAAAACTTGCAATTTCTCTTCGTAATAATGCTTTGCATTTTTTCTGTTAGCCTTTATATTTTCTCGTCCGATCCTCACCAATCGTTTTCCATTTAAATATGCACTTCAATTATATATGATGAGTACGTAAAGTACCTACAATGTGCCCTTTATCCGTACTCACTCAGCTGTAATAATTAGGGTAAGATAATCGAACGAGAGCTCGCCGCCACCCCGTACACCGTCCACGACTTGTTTCACAGTTAGTTTAGACCTAATTGATTCCACAAAACTGCGCCATCGCTTTGCTTGTTCCGTCTCTCGCCTGTGTATGGAATAGTCACTTGAAAGATCAATTAAAAATGATTTTTTATCAATAATTTTACTAACAATTAAGTAAACCTAGGTAAAATTTAACTTACAAAATCGTTTCTTCCTCTTGTGGTTCATTTTCTATAGCCGAATGTACTACGTTACATGGAAGAACACTGCAATCGAAGTCGACATTTGCTTCTTATAAAAAGTATCACACAAAGGAGGGACTGTGGAGCATAATTTTATATGAAAAAAAATGTCTCAATAGTTCACTTTCAATATTTTTATTTATTTTCGAAGAATTTAACTTGTATTGGCACTAGGTTGTTTTATGAACATTATTAATATTTTGACATTGAACATACGTACCTTACAATGGATCTATTTCGAACTCCAATTCCAAGTTGTGTCAAGCAATGTAGCATAGTTTCGCATGGATCTCCCGTAGGCAGCGGAAACATCACTTCGAAGAAATTTCCGGCTTTGTCGCCCACCCATACTACATGCTCCACTTGCAACTTCCGCAAGAGTTCTTGTAAAATCTGTAGGTATTCAGTTATTTCCATATTTTATTTGGGATACATCTTACCTTTGAAATACAATGTAAACTAAGTACCTATGTGATCTTTTAAATTATTTTACTTACGCTTTCCATTGTAATAAAGTCATCATTTTCGTTAATATTTTCTAATGTAGGGTTGAACGCTTCGTTATAATAATTCTGCGTCAGATGTACAGGTATACTTCTATTTTTCTTACTTCGCAACTCAACTTCTAAACGAGGTTGCTTGAATGATACAGCGTCTTCTATCGCGATTATATCTTTTGGCTTACCAAACCTCAGTATATGTTCATAATTACTTGATGGTATACAGATTACAAAAACTACACCAGCCATTTTAAATTTTGTTTTAACAATTGATTTACAATGGTCGCATTTGCAGGGAATACTGAGCTCTGACGAGGAAATGTCATATGAGCTGCATTATTTAGCCTTTAAGTAGTAATTATTGGTGCTATTAGGAAGCTGTTGTGTAAATTATAGAAACTGCGCTAACAAACGTAACGAGAAGTGACAAATTATAAAGTAACATAACAGAATGAACGAAGTAAATTAATTGTGAAAAATAAAAGCCTTGGATTTTTTTCATAAATGTTTATTGAAAGCGTAACAGTGCACATAGCTAATAGTATCCTAGAACTAGCTAATGCGAAAATATATTTAAACATCGTATGATTTATTGTTCAATACAATTCCACATTTTTTCGAATCTACTGTAAGGTTGAAAGACGGTTCTATAGTAGGATGATTCTGGTCCCCTTTAAAGTTGCTAATTACGTCTTCAAAACCTTTGTTGCAGAACCCGTAATCCGTGTTTTCTAAATAATCTTTGTTTCTACTGCTGATGGACTCAATGTCAGAAGATTTGTCGTTATTTATGTCAACTTTAGTGTTTTGATTAGGGTGTATTGCTAGATCTGGGTTCAATGCCATGCAGTTTTCGGCCATCCTGTTACGAGAAATTCTTAGATCAATGCATCAACCAATGCTACAACATCACACCAATTATAGCGAAGGAGTTTAGTAAAAGGCGACTACAGACTGGCTTACATAAACCGAATTAGATGTGACTACACTAAGACAGGATGAATTTATGGACATTGACGTAAAGTAAGTATTACGGAAAATGTATACTTACTGCCCATTTCGATTGTAGTAGGATTCAATGCTTTGAGCCTTCACACGTTGTGGCAAAAAATGGTGTCGTCTGTACGTTACAGTGTCACTTTGTATTAAACCTACTGCAGTTTCTTTACTGTCTGTTACTTGGTTTGAATTTCGCATTTCGTTACACCATTTGCTGAAATTGATGTGAGTACTTTTTAAGACAAAATTCAAACGCAATAATGTTCTGTGCGATGTAAAGACTTCTTACCTATAAATATCCCATGTCATGGAATCGTCTTTTTTACGTTTATTTTTAGAAGTATACATGAAATGTTTGTTTGTTTTCCACCAATGCAAATCTCTTTTTTCAAAAGGGCAAACTTCTTTTACCTGGAAGCAGAGAATATCTCGTAACTGCTGTTTACTTTAGACGGAGTTAGGTCCCAACGCAAATTTGTTATTATTCGAAGCCTACCTTATAAACAGCAACTCCAGCTAGGAAAATGCACATGATATTGACAAGTGTTAGGCATAATGACACTGCGCCCAGCACAGCGAGCTCAGTCGGTTGGTTTGTGCTGTATATGGTGGTTTTCACAACGGTAGTCCAGCGGGTATCGTCGTCCATGAAAATTAAGTGTACTAATGCCATGGCCCAAAGCAGACCCTAGAAAGTAAAAAAGTATGTGTAGGAGATACGTTGGTAGGTGTGATACCATATTTTTAGTAGCAACACTGCCACCTCATCTATTTCAGCTGCCAAGCAGTAATGTGAGCATTCCGAATTTGTAGTGTTTGTGGTGGAGAAATTACATGAGACGTGTCAACTTACGTCTCAACGTGACAGGCGCAGTGGCAGTGTCCATTAAACTGCAACTGCTATAAATAGGCGTGTCGCCGACCAGTGCAATTCGTGTAGATTAGTTAGAAATAGTGTTTTATTATATTGTAATTATGTTAGTTCTTAAGGTATATATTATATGGGTCATGGAGGCCTGAACTAAATAAATAAATAATTAAATAAATAAATAAATAAATTAATATCAGGCGCGCAACTTGATCCTCCAGTCACTTGTTATCATAAAAAATAATAAAATATTGGTAGAGCTCTACATTTTTTACTGGAAAGTCGATATACCTACAGCATTTACAGCCGGTGGCAACAAAGAGGCAGATATGGCAACACCAACAAGCGAAGCAGTGTACTCTCCCAGGACGGCAAGAGCGACTCCGGCACCGCTCGGAATTGCTACCAATAGACCGACCCAGAGGGACCGAATTTCACATCTATTGAAAAAGAGCAACACAATTATCATTCTGATCATCTTAAACTTCGACATCGTTGATGAAGGTAAATAGACATTAACAAGCATTATAACATTGCATGTTCGCTTCACAACTTCTAATTAGAAACCAAATAACGAACGGAAATAACGAATGAGATGTTTAATGTCGGTCAGATACTCTGGAAAAAAAGCTAATTATTAAAAAGTCCGTATAGAGTGCTTTTGGATTAAAAGGTTGAATTATTACCTGGACATCATTTCATAAGTAGGCCAATCTCCAACTCCATATTTCTCGTCAACAGCGCAAATGGCAAGTCCAAAGATGAAACCAATGATCAAAGAGAGGAAAAGTCCGAAGAGCTCATGAATGACGCCCATTTGTTGTAGAGAACGGTCCTGAACTGCTGTTCCCAAAGTACCTGCTGTTATGGGACCCTGAAAGTATTGAATAATAAAAAAGTTGACGACGTAACTTTATTTTTTAATTTTATTCGTCTTTATCTTTTCGTACAAAGGTTACTTAAGACTAAATGAATTGTAAAGGACAGCAGTAGGTATTAAATTTCAGTTGTAACTCGTCGGAGAATTTTAATTTACAACTTCGCTTTGTAAATGTTTGTAAATTTCCAACATTTAGGTTTTACTCAATGTTTTACTTACTGGTTTTTTGTTTGATGATTTTCTCACCCATGGATTTTGTTATTATATAAGATCCTAATTAATTAAGTGACATATTTTAAGGTCATATTCAGTAGGTACTTAGATTACAACTGGGTTTTCAGGAAGCAATTACAATTATCATTATGGCAACCATTTTATGACACAAAAAAATCATCTGTACATGTTTTTCGTGATTTCAACAGCAGACAAAGGACAATACTACAACTCGAAAGGTTTTAAATGAAAGCCTGTCTTGACATTTCACAGTTCTGTATTAACTCACAAGTTATGTTTGTAATTCTTACCATAAGTGGTGAAATCAGCATACTAGCAACAAGAATCACGGTCGAATTCTCTACCAGACCAATGGCTGCTACAAATGCAGCAACAATTAACAAGAATATCCAATCGAACGTTAGCGCCGCTTCGGCTCTGACATCATGCAGAATTTGGGCGAGGTTGTTTCGCGCACGTACGGATGACGAGAAGCGAGACCATGCAGAGTCAGGACCACTGAAAATCATATTTTAGGTTTTCAATGAAAATACAAAACATTAAGGTACGGCGCCCATTTGACGGCATGGTAAGAGATCCTTCCTTCCGGCATTCCTACACGCAAGTGACGGCAATCATGCCGCGGTATCTTTAGTCATGCCGGACCTCGCACCCAGCCTGTCTTCAGATCAGTCGTAGCGTCGCATGCAGGTTTATTTCTAATTTTATATTTAAAAATGATAGTCTTCTTGAAGAAGAAAATCATGTTCCGACAAAGGAAAGGTTTTGGATGAATAACCCTCGGAAGCCTGCCGAAGCATGTCAAAGGTTGCTGAAGCATTCCGGAGATTGCCGGCACGATATCCCTAAGTTTAGCGTAGTTTTGTGTTTGTAGCTCAATCGCTACCTAACAATTTCCTCCCGCACCGTCCTCTCAGTCGGCTCCGGGTCTAAAACTGTGGTACGTTTATCTATTATGAAGTTATTATTGTTTTTATTTCTATTTCAATGGCATATAGATGTATATTAACTTCAGTGGCTCTTCTTTTTCTAATTTTGTAAGTTTTCTAAATACAACAGTCTCAAAAGAACTCTACTCATACAACAGGAATAATTTGGATTATAAAATTGTATTTTACCCGACTACAACAGCGTTCTAGGGATATTAATTATTGCCTTAAACACAGTAGTATATATTTTACAATTGAGAAAATGAGTCTGCGATCGTTTTACAGATTGGTTAATTGCACAGCGTGGGAGATACTGAGTTCTGTGAATCACGTTTCGATTAGTCTTCAGTTTCGAGCTACAATAGAGTAGACGATTATCTATTACACCGTAAGTATTATTCAATCGTGTTTTTATTTTCCATTAATTGGCTTTTATTTTCCACACGAAGAAGTGCAATATAAAAGAGAATCTATAATTCGTGCGCTCACTTTTCTAACCCCGCGATTTCTTTCTCAGTGCCGGCTTGACTGTCGTGATTATCCTTGTAGTAAAGAGCGCAGGGTATAACACTAATTGAGGACTGGAAGCGCGATCCGATGCCGAAAGTTCTTAGGACTTGCAGTAATTCTTCGCAAATGTTGCCAGACTCCAATGAAAATATCACCTGAAAGATAAGATGGAAAGAAGAATGAAATGTCGTATAACATTTTATACAGGGTAAAACAAAAAGGTGTGGCAAAATTTCAGTTGGTAATCGATTCGTAATCATGGTAAAAAAAAAGGAACAAAAAAGAATTTTGAAATGAAAATATTTTGGATATTTAAAGAGGGAATAAGTATTTTTGTGTTTTGATTGAAACAAATATTTTATCTAATACATTTTTGTTATTACTATAAACAAGTCATGGTCACACTTTTTGTTACGCCCTGTATAAAAGGTATCCTGCAAGGAGCCAAAGGTAGCTGCACCATGTTCTTTACTTTGTATATCATACACTTGGTATAATAGAGCTTGGTATCATACGTCAAAAGTGCCTTTATTACACGAAAGTCATAAAAATAATACTTACGAAGTACATTAAAGAAATTATGTACATGCAAAATTTTATAACTCTCTAACAGAATTAAGCATAAACAAGTTGTAGACTAATTTCGTTCGTAGAATCTTTACACCTTTCTCCAGAAAAGTGACTGTATGAACATTTCTTCTGTTCATTACAAATATGTTAACTATTACGTAATGTAATGTTTGTGTGTTTGAACAACGTATTATTATATTATTATTATTAGCAACCTTTGTACCTTACAGTATTACGTAACATAATGTAATTTTTTTTTAATAATTGGTAAAGTTCGTACGTTTTTTTTATGATGTCAAGTGACGGGACGAACAAGTCCTGAGACATAAGTTGACAAGTCCTATGTGCCTGTAATCTCACCAGCACCCTTATCCTTCAAAACCGGAACGGTAATGCTAACATTACTGTTTGGCGGCAAAAATAGGTACGGTGGCAGTACTTTCCTGGACAAACTCTTTCACAAGGAGCTCTACTGCTACTAAACTGTACGTACGAATACAGTACATCTGACGTTGTCACTTTATTTCAATTATTTATTAGTTTCATTAATTATCTTGATTTGTATATATATATATATATATACACTATCGTGTACTATGACTTATTGTTATTTATTTAAGAAGAAGAATATTTTATAATTATGAAGAGTAGTATAAAATTACATGTACCTGTATTTGTATGAAATTTGTACTGTTGAGAGAAATATACTAAACTTGTTTAATCACATTCGACGGTATTTTATCGCTACTGCTAACTACTAATAATAATAAACTCTACTGCTAATAATAAATTCTATAAACTACTTAATTAAGTATCCCTTATTGCATGCACATTAAATATATATGTCATTACTCTATATCATAATAGTTTGTTAATTAATAATGAACTGAAGGTATATTACTTCCGGCTTCACTTTCGTGCCAAAGTAATAGATAAAATTACCTTTACATATGTATTTATCGCGAGTGTCTTTAAGGTCCGATTGAATAAGCATCTTTACTATATCTTTGCTCCGGGGCTAGGTAGTGGCTAAGAGCAAGTATAATTACATAAAAAAAGTCGTACTGTTAATACAATTATTAATAAATAATTTCACATTTTTGAGAAAGCAGTTTTGTTCAGAACTAGCTCACAAAAAGTTTGTCTTATTTTGAGTTAATCTTTTGTAGTTTCTTACAATATTCTACAACAGTTTTATTGACGTTAAGATAATCAAATTTAACGTTCAGCAATAGTATAATCTTGAATTTCATATATTTTGAGTTACAATACTATTGTAATAGCAATGTAACATTCAGATGTCTGTTACAAATTCTCATTAAATTGTTTCTGAAAGAATTCTAACAAATGAAGATCGGTACAAGTTATATGAATTGTGAAGAGTGAATAGGCATTTTTTAGGCAAACGCGTATCATCGTCGGTCACTTCGTCGCTCAACATCAAGTGAGATGGTGGCCAAGCGTGTGTCTATTATTTATAAAAAAATATTGGTGTTATACATATATCTACTACGTGTGGCGCACTGTAAGTTTCCGAATGAATAAGAAAAAAATACTATAAATTGTCAGAAATGAATTTATTGTTTCTCAAAATATCCTCCGTTAGCGTTAATGCACTTTTTCATACAAATGAATCCATTTTGAAAACATTTATGCCACTCCTCCATGACAATCTCTGAAACATATTTTTCATATTCTTCGACAGCCTCTTCAGGTGATGAAAAACGTTGACCGCGTAACAGGTTCTTAATTTTTGGAAATAAATAAAAGATGACTCATAAGGTCAACGTTGTTCACCTTAAAAAATTCATTCGTTTGTCTGGCTGTGTGAGAACTGGCATTATCGTGGTGTAAGATGATACGGCGTTTACGTTTATTTTTACGGAGCTTGTCAATATCTTCCGGCAAACAAATGGTCGTGTACCAATCACTATTCACGGTACAACTATTTTCCAAAGCAACAGTAGCCACGTGTCCAGTTTTATTAAAAAAAGAAGCAATCATCCGCTTAGAGGCACTTTACACGCGCGCCAATTTGGTTGATTTCGGCTCATCTCGAAAGAGCCATACCCTCGATTGCTGCTTTGATTTGGGATCGTTACTATAAATCTATATTTCGTCACCTGTTACTATGTCCCACACTAAATTTGACGCGCCTCTGGTAAGCATGGCATTGCACCAAATGACGCGATCCGCTTTTTGAGCCTGAGTCAAATTGTATGGGATCCACTGAGAGCACAGCTTTTTCACACCCAAATGCTTGTGTAGTATTGATTGTATTTGACTCATGCCTATGCCTAAAGATGTCCTAATCTCATGGTATGTCACACGTCTGCCTGTTTTGATCATACAGCGCAAAGCATCGATGTTTTTGTTGTACACAGCAGTCAACGGGCGACCATCACGAAATTCGTCACTGAAATTCACACGACCGCGTTTGAATTCTGCAAACCAACTATAAATAGTCGTCTTGCATGGTGCTTCAACGCAAAAAAAGCAGTTTGAAGCCGAGCAAAGCTCCGCTAAACTGTTAAATTACACTTAAAGTCGTAGAAAATCATACTACGAAAATTTTCACGAGTTAAATCCATAGTGATGTAGACAACCAATTTCTAAAATGACGCCACAATGTAAAAACAAGTGACAGTTGGATGAAACTAACTGTATTCTACAGCCAAACAGTTACATTTTCAAATGTTACTTTTTAAATATTGTTTATATACATATAAACAACACTGGCCAGTTCCGGAATCTTATAGTAGGCCCTATGTATACACACATCAAAAAAAGTTTGCGATCACTTCGAAAAACTGAAATCTTTTTTGTTACTGTAGATTATATTATGATTTTTTCTTCTTTTTAGATTCGTTATTTAAAAATAAATTAGAACATAAAACAATGACCCCGTTCAATTGTTTTTTCATATAAAAAGACTTTCAGTCCTAGCTTACGCTCATTCAGAAATCTGATTTAGTCAATTATAAGCGATTCAAGATATTTTTCGCGGAAAGTTGTGATTGAAAAAATGCCAAGAGGATTATCTGAGGTTTTACGAGCTAGAATAGTAACTTTGAGGGAAGAAGGATACACCACGAGAGTAATAGCACGCAGACTTGCTATATCCCAATCCTGTGTCGTGGCTACGTTGCAGAGGTATCACGGAATGGGGAATTTACCTGACCGACCCCGCAGCGGTCGCCCAACTGTTTTGACAGCTGCCCAAAAGCGCTATATTAGATTGCTGGCAGCCCGTGATCCAACAATCAACGCCACTAAAATAAAAGCAGAAGTCAGGGCCGCCTCTGGGCTTGAAGTTAGCACGCAGACCGTTCGCAATTGCTTGCACCAGGCTGGATTACGAGCACGGAGGTCTTGGCGAGCTCCGCTCAATTCCCGGCAACGTCAACAACGAAGATTGCAGTAGGCTAGACTTCGGCAAAATGAAGAAGGTGAGGACGAAAACATTTGGCAAAACTGTCTCTTCGTTGACGAATCCCGAATCAGCACTCATCCAGATAACCGACGTGTCCGTGTCTGGAGAAGACCAGGCGACCGTGAAAGACAAAGAACTGCCACTGGAACAGTTCAGCAAGGCGGAAAATCGGTGTCCTTTTGGGGTGGCATTATGATTGGAGCTAGAACGCCTTTGATCCCGTATCGGGGCTTCATGACAGCAGACATGTACAAAGCAGTTGCTATTGATGATATCGTCAGACCATTCCGAGTAAACCATGGGCACCAATTTGTACTGGTCGATGATAATGCGCCCGCACATCGAGCTCAACGAGTCAATACTGCTCTTCAAGAATACGATATCACACGATTAGACTGGCCTGCCGGTTCGCCCGACTTAAACCCAATAGAGCACGCGTGGGATGCTCTTAAACGAGCAGTATGGAACCGTGAGCCACGTCCCCAGACAGTTCCAGAGCTCAGGGAAGCCGCTATTGAAGAATGGGATAGGTTACCCCAGGAAATGCTGGATAACTTGTTCCTCAGCATGCCCAGGAGGATCTTCGCATGTATTCGAGCCAGGGGAGGAGTTATTTTATATTGAATTCACACCTTTTAATAATAAATTGTTGTTTAAGTTTAATTAAACAGTCTTTTTCTTTCTATGAAATTTCTATCACTATTACATTATGATTAATGGCTCAATTTTTTAAAATAAATAATAAAAAATAGTTTTATATTTTAATTTCAAACAGGGTATTCCTATTTAAAGAAAGCATACAACATAGATTTTTTCTTGATAAAGTTAAATTTAAAGAATTATAGGAGCTTATGCTATTGATCGCAAACTTTTTTTGATGTGTGTATGTACTTTAAATAAGTACACTCAGCCAGATTCAAGTAAAAAAATACTCTCAATCGCAGCACAGAGAGAAGTACTAATGATGACGTAATACTAATGCTCTACAGACGTTCTCCTCGCGCCCGCTCTGATTCAAAATCAAAATAATCTTTGTTTCATAGGTAAGCATTATTACACTTCAAATAGTCACATTGGTTAAACTCTACGGCTCATTCGTAAGGCAGATTTCCCTGAGCAGGATGAGCAAGAATCTCTAGGGGTTGCCTCTTT